CAGGTGTTGGCAAATGTAAGCCTTAGCAGAAATACGGTTGCTGATTTTAAGTTCAAGTTTATTTATTTTGGAATAATATTGTATCCTGCCTGTTTCAATTCATATTTATGTTCAAAAAACGTTTAGTTTTAGTCTGTTCAATAAATGTTTATCCTGTTCGGCCCGCGACCTAAAGTGTGCTTTGAGTTTTGGCCCCCTGTGCGATTGAGTTTGACACCCCTGGTGTATAGTATATACAGTAAATTCTTGATGTTAACAAAGCAAAATAAGCTTCCAAGCCACAAAAGTAGTCACTTCTAGAACAAAAATGTGAGTGATGTTTAACGAGTAAAAATAAACAATTTGTTTGGTGCCAACTTGATGGTGTAATGTGGTGTTTTCTTTGTGTTTTATGTCTGGTCTTAATTTTTAATTTCCCTTCAGTAATTATATTTGCAATACAAAGGTGAATTAGTGTTTTATTTTGCATTCTCAGACTTTTGGTTTTGACCATATGAAGAGTTTATACAGTTTATACAGTGTTGATCATGATGATCAATTTTAACAAGGTATTTTCTGAATTGGCAAATAAAAGGAACAGACCAAAGCGGCAGACAAGAAGAGCAGAGAAATACAAATTGTCTACTTTGTAATAGCAAACAAGACTTATTCAAACCAGTTTAGGTGAAAATGGAGTTTGTTCACTCTGGACAAACTAGAATGACATCATCACAGCCATGGCTTTGATATCTGTGACATTATTAAGTCTGTGGCTTTATCAAGCAACTGCAGCTCACCAGGCAGTTCAACTTCAGACCTTCTACAAGTAACACACTAGTGTGAAAGCACGTCAAACAACTAATACAGACATTTATTCACAGAGATACTACTACTACCAGTGTTTGAGTAAACTGATTCTACCAGTTAAAAAATGGCAAGTTCTACCAACAGACCTCAAAAACGGCGACCAAACTGACAGCCATCTCCCAGAGACCAGTCCGACATGGCCTGTGAAGCAATTCATGAAGAAATCGAGAGGCTTCACAGGATGCTGAGCACGGGCAGAGAGAACTTGAACTATGAACAAAACGTGAAGATCCAACTTAGCCAAAAGCTGAAGGAGACAAGGCAACAGCTGGCTAACCAGAAAGCCAAGACTCCTTTATCATCAAGGAAAAAGAAACCACCAAGGAGCTTGAGAGGCTGAGGCAGTACAGTAATGCAGAAGCTCTCAGTGCCTCAAACATTGCCACTCAGTTTGGTAATGATATCAAGAGGATGAAGAAAAAAGATCTTCAGGAAGATTACGAGGAGCTGCAAGTGGCACACACGATAACCCAGTTAAGGTTTACGGGTGCGCTGAATGTGGAGAAGAACAAGAACAAGACTCTCCAAGAAGAACTGGGGAAGCTCAGACCTTCACACCATCAGCTCACTGTAAGATATGAAAACAATACCTTCACACTCAGGCAGCAGGTCGAAAGCCTTCAGCATGAGTGTGAGGATGAAAACAAGTCTCACGCTTGAGCAAGATATCCACCTGATCGATACCCTGAAGGCGGAGAGAAACGCCCGTCTGTGTGAGCTAGAGACCAAAAAGGTTGCTCATGCAGACAGGGTGGAGCAAGGTCAAAAGCTGATCGACACCCTGAAGATGGAGAAAGACGCCCTTCAGCGTGACGAAGCTAGGCTAAGAAAGGAAGTGGATATCTATGAGCAGCAGTATGACTTCATGTCCAGAAAGAGCACTACTGAAGCAATTTTTGCTCTGAGAATGTTAATGGAGAAGTATAGAGATGGTCGGAAGGAGCTGCATTGTGTCTTTGTGGATTTAGAGAAAGCGTACGACAGAGTGCAGAGAGAGGAGCTATGGTACTGTATGAGGATGTCAGGAGTGGCAGAGAAGTACGTCAGAGTAGTTCAGGATATGTATGAGAGGAGTACGACAG